AAAACTGAAAATTATTGGATATGATCCACTACTTTAGAGATAAGAATTGATAACCAGACATGTTTATATCATACGTTAAAATTAGTCATGTCATGACCAATGTCTAATAACAAAACTATTTTGGCCACTTTGACTAAGTTCTTGACAGAAACAACTCAAAATTTGACTTGAGAATGACTATATTTTCTCTGATAGCAACCAAATTTGCAAAATTGTACAGAAAACGCATTTCTTGTTGATCTTTAATTTACTTTGTTTTTCTTCTTGGGACTAGAAAAATGTGTTCAATTATTTTTCGTGAAAACAATCTTATGAAGCTTACCCCCTCTATCCAAATTTATAATGCATAGTTTGAATTCTCAAGAGCCAAATCCTTTAATTTTTATCATAAATTCAGGCATGAAGTCTTTAAAATTTTAAAATAAAATTTATATATTTAAAAACTATGTAAAAATTACTATAAGTAATAATAATTGATCCACAAACCAGTGGTCGCGTTTAAAGTGAAAGAATTAGAGTTTTTAATATTCACAAACCATCCTCGAAGGTTGAAATATCTTGATTAATCTCTAATAAAACACGATTAATTCCTAAAGAAATAGGTTACCTAAGGTCTCTTACTTACCTACATTTGGGTGAGAACTCTCTTAATGGCTATATTCCTTCTTCATTGGGGAATTTGAGCAACTTGTTTGGTATGTATCTTAATAATAATCAGCTTTGTGGCTCTATTCCTGAAGAAATAGGTTACTTGAGTTCTCTTACTTATCTATATTTGGGTAATAGCTTTCCTAATGGATCTATTCCTGCTTCATTTGGCAATTTGAGAAATCTGCAAACTCTGGTTCTCAATGATAACAATCTCATTGGGGAAATTCCGTCATTTGTGTGCAATTTGACATCACTGAAAGTGTTGTATATGCCGAGAAACAATTTGAAGGGAAATGTTCCGCAATGTTTGGGTAATATCAGCGGCCTCCAGGTTTTGATGATGTCACATAATAATCTCAGTGGTGAGATCCCTTCATCTATTTCCAATTTAACATCACTACAAATTCTAGATATGGGCAGAAACAATCTTGAGGGAGCAATTCTACAATGTTTTGGCAATATTAGTAGCCTCCAGGTTTTTGATATGCAGAATAACAAACTTTCTGGGACTCTTCCAACAAATTTTAGCATTGGAAGTTCACTTAGAAGTCTCAACTTGCATGGCAATAAACTAGAGGGAAAAATACCTCGATCTTTGGCCAATTGCAAAAAGTTGCAAGTTCTTGATCTAGGAGATAATCATCTCAATGACACATTCCCCATGTGGTTGGGAACTTTGCCAGAGCTGAGAGTTTTAAGATTGACATCGAATAAATTGCATGGACCTATAAGATCTTTATGGGCTGAAATCATGTTTCCTGATCTTCGAATCATAGATCTCTCTAGCAATGCCTTTTCGAAAGACTTACCAACGAGTCTGTTTCAACATTTGAAAGGCATGACCACTATTGATCAAATAATGAAGGCACCAAGTTCTAAAGGAAATCGAGTATACTACCAAGACTCGGTAGTTGTTGTAACAAAGGGATTGAAGCTTGAAGTTGTGAAAATTTTGTCTTTGTACACAGTTATTGATCTTTCAAACAATAAATTTGAAGGACATATTCCTAGTGTTCTAGGAGATCTCATTGCTCTTCGGGTATTGAATATGTCTCATAATGGTTTGAAAGGTCATATACCACCAGAACTTGGAAGTTTGTCTTTAGTGGAATCATTGGACCTTTCATTTAACCATATTTTGGGAGAGATACCACAACAACTTGCTTCTCTTACATATCTTGAATTCTTAAATCTCTCACACAATTATCTCCAAGGATGCATCCCTCAAGGGCCTCAATTTCTTACCTTTGAGAGCAATTCATATGAAGGTAATGATGGATTACGTGGATTCCCCGTTTCAAAAGGTTGTGGCAATGATCCTGTGTCAGAGACAAATTATACAAAGTCTGCGCTAGACGATCAAGAAAGCAATTCTGAATTTTTTAATGATTTTTGGAAAGCAGCTCTGATGGGCTATGGCAGTGGGCTGTGTATTGGATTATCCATAATGTATTTCTTGATCTCAACTGGAAATCTAAGATGGCTTGCAAGAATCATTGAAGAACTGGAACACAAAATTATCATGCGAAGGAGAAAGAAGCAGCAAGGTCAAAAGAATTACAGAAGAAGAAATAATCGCTTCTAGACAAGTTACCAGTAAAGAAGAATTTGATTTCAGAATTTCAGGTATTCAAGCTAAGTTTTACACTAATCTTTTTTAGTTTATTCTAACAACTAATATATTAGGTTTTATGCTTTTTTGTTATAAACAAAATACTTATTAACGCTTGATACGAATTGCTGGTAATCAGTTGGAAACTGTGATAACAGAGGCAAAAAAATTATAGTTGTGTGACTCATTTTCTTATTTTTTAAGCTATTTCAGATGCCAAGAATAAGAAGACATTGGCGTAATGGATTTGGTTCTTCCTATGTTGCAGCTTATGATGTTGGATTTGATTTTTAGTTTTATAAGCTTTTCTTCAGTTGGGAAAATGTAATATTATGAATTTTGATGATATACAATAAATGTTGTGTGTATTGAATGATGTGTATGCATTTCTCGGATCAATAATACTCACCTCAAAGAATCTTAGAGAGCTGAATGAATGGAGGAAGATATTTAGCGCACGATAGAAGAGAGAGAATATCTCACACCCGAAAGCTAGTTATTATGGTGGGAGAGGCCAAGTTTTAATTTTTTGATGTGGAAACAGTGAGGTAGCATACAATACACCCTTGTGGCCCGGCCCTTCGCTTAGCCTATTATTATACAAACAGGCTTACTCAAAGTAAACTGTTTTTTTCATTTGCATTCATCAATGATATTCCTTGTGCTCGTAGCACTTTGAAACTTTCCTTTGCCAATTGCAATAATGTTATTTTGAAACATTTGTCTGTTCTATTTACAGATACAGGGGGGTATACTAGATAGATCAAAGTTGGATAATCTATATGAAGCAGCACTGGCAAGACAGAATCTTGTAAAATGACCCTAAAAAACAGGGAAGTTTCGTATAATCTATTCGAGGTAGCTGATAATTAACAGGATGCACTTAATAGTTCAACCAACTCTGGAACAAATGCTGCACAAAATGGCTCATTACCATGACTATGGTGTACTCATGCAACAACAGGTTGCCAATATGACTCAATCACAACAACCGTTACAACACGAAGCCTTGATGATGCAGCAGCAAATGGCTATTGTGCCTCTGCAACATCAAACTGCTTCTATGACTCAACATAATGAAGGAGAGATTCAAGAACAGGAAGCACAAAATTAAGAAGATATAGCTAATGTGCCTCAACTACAACTACAAATTCATGTTTGTGTTAGCAGTAAATGTAATCAGGTTATCCATCAAATCAAGATGTTGCTCTCTGTTCCATCTCCTAAAGAGCAATTCTTCCATCAATGGAAAAATATTCCTTACCAGGTTGAGAGATTCATGCCTAAGATTAATATCAAATGTCCTGAAAATGATTGGATACGGTCCACTACTTTAGAGATAAGAATTGAAAACCAAACATGTCTGTATCATACATTAAAAGTGGTCATGACCAATGTGTGATAACAGAACTACTTTGGCCACTTTGACCAAGTCCTTTGCTGAATTAAATGTGTAACTCGAAACAACTCAAAATTTGACTTGAGAATGACCACATTTTCTCTGATAGCAACCAAATTTGCAAATTTGAAGAAAATGCATTTCCTGTTCTTTTTGGGACCAGAGATATGTGTTTAATTACTATTTGCGAAAACAATCATATGAAGATTACTCCCTCTATCTCAATTTATAATGCATAGTCGGGATTTTCAAGAGCCAAATAGTTTAATTTTCACCAAAAATTCAAACATGAAGTCTTTAAAAAATTTAAAATAAAATTTATATATTTTGAAACTACAGAAAAAGTACTATAAGTTACAATAATTTATCCACAAACCATCTTCGGAGTGATCGCGTGTGAAGTGAAAGAATTGGAGTTTTTAATATCCAAAAACCATCTTCGAAGGTTGAAATATCTTAATCTATCTCTAATAAAAAAACTATTAATATCCAGTTTTCATCAAGGATCATTACCTATTCCGACAAATTCCACAAGATACTTCATCATATCAAAAAAATAATCTCAGTGAAGAAATTCTTTTATTTGGAAAATCGATTTGAGAGTCATTGAAATTTAATTTTATCAAAATATTCGAGCATGAAAAATGTGAAACTCTTGGAGGTCTCATAAAAATAAAATACCCTTTGCAACACGACTTTATTTGGCAGATTGAAAAATCACCTAATTTTTACACATTTCATTGACAGATTGGCCACTTACCATAAAATTACACTCACTCCTCGAAACCCATAAGTCTTAGTTGTTTGTGAATAATTTGTGTTTCAAATTGAGACGACAATAGTTCAAGTAGGGAAAATAAATAACTTATTATTCGAATGTAAAACTCGCAAAAAAAGTGATATTCAAATTTAATTTTGACCATTATCTCTTAATTTTCTTGGCTCTTCATTTATTTGGCTATTCATTTTTCAAAAGATCCACATCATCAGACATCAATATCTAGCAAGTCCCATAAAAATAAAACACCCTTCTCAACACGACAAAGAAAGATTGAAAAATGACAACATTTTCTCAAAGACAAAAACAAAACATGTGAGAGAAGACATTACGAATCATCGTAACGTCTAACACTGAGAATTGTTGAATATGGTCCATTATGTAGAGATGAGGATTCCTTGGCTGAACTAGATCTCTAACACAAAACAATCCAAAATTTGACTTGAGAATGACAACATTTTTTTCCCTGATAGAAGCCAAATTGGCAAATTTGGAGAAAACGTGTTTCCTGTTGATCTTTAATTAGTATAAGTTACATACAATATCAAATCCTATGAATCTGAAACAATAAACTCAAACTATGATGATGGTTTCTAGCAAAACATTCTCTTCACTTCAGTTTTTCACTCTTTTCTACCTCTTTACAGTTGCATTTGCTTCCACTGAGGAAGCAATTGCCCTCTTGAAATGGAAAGCAACTTTCAAGAACCAGAATAATTCCTTATTGGCTTCATGGACGCCAAGCTCTAATACATGCGAAGACTGGAATGGAATTGTATGCTTTAATGGTAGGGTTAACAGGTTGAATATTACAAATTCCCGTGTCATTGGTAACCTGTATGCTTTTCCGTTTTCATCTCTCCCTTTTCTTGAGAATCTTAATCTTAGCATGAACAATTTCTCTGGCACCATTCCACCTGAGATTAGTAATCTCACTAATCTTGTCTATCTTGACTTGAACAGCAATCAGATTTCAGGAACAATCCCACAACAAATCGGTTCACTAGCCAAGCTTCAGATCCTCCGTATATTTGACAACCATTTAAATGGCTCTATTCCTGAAGAAATAGGTTACCTAAGGTCTCTTACTAAGCTATCTTTGGGTAGGAACTTTCTTACTGGTTCTATTCCTGCTTCATTTGGGAATTTGAACAACTTGTCTTTTTTGCTTCTTCATAATAATCAGCTTTCTGGCTCTATTCCTGAAGAAATAGGTTACCTAAGGTCTCTTACTAAGCTATCTTTGGGTATGAACTTTCTTACTGGCTCCATTCCAGCGTCATTGGGGAATTTGAGCAACTTGTCTTTTTTGTATCTTTATGATAATCACTTTTCTAGCTCTATTCCTCGAGAAATAGGTTACCTAAGGTCTCTTACTGACCTACATTTGGGTAATAACTCTCTTACTGGTTCCATTCCAGCTTCATTGGGGAATTTGAGCAACTTGTCTGGTTTGTATCTTTATAATAATAACCTTTCTGGCTCTATTCCTCTAGAGATAGGTCACCTAAGGTCTCTTAGTATCCTACATTTGAGTAATAACTCTCTTAATGGTTCTATTCCTGCTTCATTGGGAAAATTGAAAAACTTGTCTATTTTGATTCTTTTTTATAATCACCTTTCTGGCACTATTCCTGAGGAAATAGGTAACCTAAGGTCTCTTACTATACTAGCTTTGGGTAGGAACTTTCTTAGTGGTTCTATTCCTGCTTCATTGGGGAATTTGAACAACTTGTCTTCTATGTATCTTAATGATAACAACTTGAAGGGAAAAGTTCCGCAATGTTTGGGTAATATCAGTGGCCTCCAGTTATTGATGATGTCACATAATAATCTCAGTGGAGAGCTCCCTTCATCTATCTCCAATTTAACATCACTGCGAATACTAAATTTGGGCAGAAACAATCTGGGGGGAGCAATTCCACAATGTTTTGGCAATATTAGAAGCCTCCAGATTTTTGATATGCAGAATAACAAACTTTCTGGGACTCTTCCAACAAATTTTAGCATTGGAAATTCACTTATAAGTCTCAACTTGCATGGCAATGAACTAGAGGGGAGAATCCCTCGGTCGTTGTCCAATTGCAAAAAGTTGCAAGTTATTGATCTGGGAGATAATCACCTCAATGACACATTTCCCATGTGGTTGGGAGCTTTGACAGAGCTGAGAGTTTTAAGATTGACATCGAATAAATTGCATGGACCCATAAGATCTTCAGGGACTGAAATCATGTTTCCTGATCTTCGAATCATAGATCTCTCTAACAATGCCTTCTCAAAAGACTTATCAACGAGTATGTTTCAACATTTGAAAGGCATGAGGACAATTGATCAAACAATGAAGTTACCAAGTTATGAAGGAAATGGAAATTACCTAGACTCGGTGGTAGTTGTATCAAAGGGATTGAAGCTAGAAGTTGTGAGAATTTGGTCTTTGTACACAGTTATAGATCTTTCAAACAACAAATTTGAAGGACATATTCCTGGTGTTCTGGGAGATCTCATTGCGATTCGGGTACTGAATTTATCTCATAATCGATTGCAAGGTCATATACCACCATCACTTGGAAGTTTATCTGTAGTGGAATCATTGGACCTTTCGTTTAACCAGCTTTCGGGAGAGATACCACAACAACTTGCTTCTCTAACGTCTCTTGAATTCTTAAATCTCTCCCACAATTATCTTCAAGGGTGCATCCCTCAAGGACCTCAATTTCATACCTTTATGAGAAATTCATATGAAGGTAATGATGGATTGCGTGGATTTCCAGTTTCAAAAGGTTGTGGCAATGATCATGTGTTAGAGACAAATTATACAGTATCTGCACTAGACGATCAAGAAAGCAATTCTGAATTTCTCTATAACTTTTGGAAAGCCGCCCTGATGGGCTATGGTAGTGGACTGTGTATTGGATTATCCATAATATATTTCATGATCTCAACTGGAAATATGAAATGGCTTGCAAGAATCATTGAAGAGCTGGAACACAAAATTATCATGCGAAGGAGAAAGAAGCGGCAAAGTCAAAGGAACTACAGAAGAAGAGAGAATCGTTTCTAGACAAGTTACCAATAAAGAGGGATTTGATTTCAGAACTTCAGGTATTCAAGCTAAGATCTACACTAATCTTTTTTAGTTTATTCTAACTACTAATATATTAGTTTACATGTTTTTTGTTAATAACAACAACTAATTAATGCTCAATATGAAGCATATTTGTTTTTCCAACAAATTCAAGAAGCTAAAAATTTGAAAAGCTTGGAAGTTGTTATAACAGTGGCTACTAAATTCAATCAGTGATCAACTCTCAAGTATTTGACTCACTATCTTATTTTTTCAGATGCCGAGAATAAGAAGATGTTGGCGTAATGGATTTGATTTTTAGTTTCTTTTTAGTTTTATAAGTAAGCTTCTTCTTAACTTGGAAAATGTAATATTATGAAATTTTGATGATATATAAAGTTTATGTAAGTTTCTAACGTTATTCAATAAATGTTGTGTGTATTGAATGAAATGTATACATTTCTCTGATCCCTAACTTACAATTCAAAGAATCTAAGACGGACTTAGTCATGAATAAATTTTTGAACAAGCTGAAGAATGTGTTGTGTTGTCCCTATTTAGCTCGAGAAAGAAGTGAAGGCAGAGTGTTGGATTGCTCGCTGCTGCCTCAACGTGTGCTGAGGTTTTGCAGCAGTTTAAAGAGAGCGTTGAGAAGAGTTAAATTAGAGGAAGATATTTATCGTGTAATAGAGGAAAGAGCATTAACAAGGAAGAATAACGAGTTCATGACAAGTGATTACATTTACTGGCCAAGGGAATTGCTTTAACGGATATGAGAACACAAACAATTTGGATTTGATGATCATAACAGAGCTGTGTTTCAAATTTCTTTTAGAATAAGTTTGTAACATTTACCAGCATCCAAACTGCACGTTTTTTTTATTTTGTATGTATTTAATTATATTCAAATAATTATGTTGTTCCTTTATTGTTAGAGCATTACCCTAAAACTGCCAAGTGGTAACCTAATAATAAGTCACTTGGCTTATTGTTGTGCTTCTGCCCCTGCTTTTACAAAGATATACAGATCCAGATTTGAAAATCTTTATCTTTTGCATAATTATCTATGAAGAAGGGTCACTTTAGCTCTTTTACTCCGAGAAATAGTTTGAATTTATCATCCGTTTAAGGTTTCACTCGTAACTAACCATGGGGCTATACATTTGATTGTCTCTAACCCTAATCGAAAAGGACACGTGGAGGGTCAGCAACACAAATAAGTAATCCCGAATTATCTTCTAATAGGTGATTACTTCCCACCTACCTAACCAGTAACCACCAGTGGCACAGTTACCCAATACCTATGTTGGTGGGAGGTAACACGTGTCCGGTGAAATAATCGAGGTTTGCATAGGTTGCTTCTGGATACCACCATTATTAAACAAAATGCACACACACTAGCACATGAAAGTAAAAAATTTCATGACAAGGGATGAAAGAAAGTCATGCCAAGATTGACTTTATCAAATGACAAATACATTGTTTGTAACTTTTGGACAACCATTTATCACTCAAAGAAGACCAACAAGTGATGCATCACAGCATTCTTGGAGCAAAATTATGTACATAAAACTCACAGTAATCATGCTTTATGTGTGGTGAAACTCCATAAGAACTAGTCCAAGATATTGACATCAAGGATTTCTAAGTGCAGCCAATCTCTTCTCCAGTTCATCGATTCCCGAACTGCCAGCACGAAATGATTAATGAGATCAAAGAGCATGAAAAAAACACTTCATACTAATACGATATGATTATTTACAGGAAAGAAAAATAGAAAACCAAAAGCGCAACATACTTTATCTGTCAGTGAGCAATACACTCAAGATGTCTAGTAATTTTGCTAGAGGATACAGTAGTACTTGAGTCAAAATTAGTTCATCATTTACCATTATCATACTTATTTTACCACTTAAATTACTTTGAAAGTATTTTATTTAAGTAAATCCCTTATACTATTTACCTTCCTCCTAAAAAATAAATCCAAATCTTAAACTAATCAAGCTTTTTTTAAAAATCAAATAGTTAATTATCGGATAACCGCGTGTTAGCGGATATTTCAGGTAAATGTTTTGTGTATTGAATGAAATGTATACATTTCTCTGATCCCTAACTTACAATTCAAAGAATCTAAGACGGACTTGGTCATGAATAAATTTTTGAACAAGCTGAAGAATGTGTTGTGTTGTCCCTATTTAGCTCGAGAAAGAAGTGAAGGCAGAGTGTTGGATTGCTCGCTGCTGCCTCAACGTGTGCTGAGGTTTTGCAGCAGTTTAAAGGAAGCGTTGAGAAGAGTTAAATTAGAGGAAGATATTTATCGTGTAATAGAGGAAAGAGCATTAACAAGGAAGAATAACGAGTTCATGACAAGTGATTACATTTACTGGCCAAGGGAATTGCTTTAATGGATATGAGAACACAAACAATTTGCATTTGATGATCATAACAGAGCTGTTTTCAAATTTCTTTTAGAATAAGTTTGTAACATTTACCAGCATCCAAACTGCACGTTTTGTTTATTTTGTATGTATTTAATTATATTCAAATAATTATGTTGTTCCTTTATTGTTAGAGCATTACCCTAAAACTGCCAAGTGGCAACCTAATAATAAGTCACTTGGCTTATTGTTGTGCTTCTGCCCCTGCTTTTACAAAGATATACAGATCCAGATTTGAAAATCTTAACCTTTTGCATCGAGGACCTGCTAAAATAAGATTGAGTTAACATGCAAGAAGCCGATAAGTAGGTGGGACCATGTGTAAAGAAATTTAGTATATATATTTTTTTTTTTTTTTTTTTATTTTTTTTAATGCATTTCATAATTAATTGATTTCTAGAAAGAATATTCCACATTCAATCGTCATTCCATTTTCAATGAAAATACATATGCAATATATGGTGCAAACTTCGTCACCATTTGAATCAGAGATCCTGGGTCCTAAATGGACTCTACTGAAACAATTAAAAGGGTCCAAAACATACCCTGACACAGCTTCCACCTTTAGTGTGAGGGACATATTTGGACCTTTTTTTTTTTTAAATTTCGGGGGTATATTTGAGATAGAAGATAACATTGGGACTTTACGAATTGTGCAAAGTACGGCCAAATTCCCTAGTTCACAATATTTGGAGAGAACATTTTACGAATTATGACATGAATTATCATCAATAATAATAGGAACCTAATGTTAAGATATTTATTTGCTAAATTATCAAAATGGATTTGGCTTCTTTTTTTTTCCAGAAGTTTTGCTAGAAAAAAGTTCCACATCATCAAACATCAATATACTAATCGAATATATCACTTAAATTAGTTGAATGACTTTATACATGAAAATAACAATAATTAAGTGACTTTTCTGATATAAAACAACGAACAACAAAATGACTTTTTAAATAGTTGAGTGATAATATGAGAAGTTAATTCTTGACATTTACTATTAAAGATAATGTAGTCCAAAAATATATTGGTTTTAAGACGCAGAATTGCTGGATATAATTCACTACTTTAAAGATGAAAATTGAGAACCAGACATGTGTGTATCAATGTGTTAATAACAAAACTATTTTGGCCAATTTGACCAAGTCCTTGGCTGACGGAGAATTGTTGGCTTTTCATTTTTTAAAAGAGTTTGAAAATAATTCCACACCATCATTATCTAACGAAAATATAACTTGAATTGCTTAAGTGACTTTATACGTGAAATGACAATAATTAAGTAATTTATCTATTACAAAACAAAGAAAAGTGACTTTCTGAATAGTTGAATGATTATGTGAAAAATCAGCTCTTGATATCTATTACATGAATTAGAGATAATATTGCCTAGAGTTTTATTGATCTAAAACTGAAAATTATTGGATATAATCCACTGCTTTAGAGATAAGAATTGAGAACCAGACATGTTTGTATCATACATTAAAAGTGGTCATGACCGATGTCTCATAACAAAACTATTTTTGCCACTTTGACTAAGTCCTTGATTGAAACAACTCAAAATTTGATTTAAGAATGACTATATTTTCTCTAATAGCAGCCAAATTTGCAAATTTGAAGAAAACGTGTTTCCTATTGATCTTCAATTTATGTTGTTTTTCTTCTTGGGACTAGAGAAATGTGTTTAATTATTCTTTGCGAAAACAAGTTTATGAAGCTTACTCCCTCTATCTCAATTTATAATGCATAGTTTGAATTTTCAAGAGTCAAATCCTTTAATTTTTATCGTAAATTCAGGCATGAAGTCTTTAAATTTTTAAAGTAAAATTCATATATTTAAAACTACGTAAAAAGTACTATAAGTCATAATAATTGATCCACAAATCATCTTCTAAGTGGTCGCGTTAAATTAAAAAATTACAGTTTTTAATATTCACAAACCATGATTCAGATATCTTAATCTATCTATAATAATATAAAACACTATTAATTTGCGATCCAATTTTCTTCAAGGGTCATTACTTATTCTAACAAATTCCACAAGATACTTCATATCAAAAAATAATCTGAGTGAAGAAATTCCTTTATATATTTGTAAAATTGGTTTGAGAGTCATTGAAATTTAATTTAAAATATTCGAGCATGAGAAATTTTAATCTCTTGGATATCTCATAAAAATAAAATACCCTTTGCAATACGACTTTATTAGGCAGATCGAAAAATCACCTAAATTTTACACACTTCATTGACAGATAGGCCACTTACTATAAAATTACGTTCACAGCTCGAAACCCATAAATCTTAGTTGTTTGTTAATAATTTGTGTTTTAAATTGAGACGACGATAATTCAAGTAGGGAAAATAAGTAACTTATTATTCGAATGTAAAATTCGCAAAACAAAAAAAGTAATATTCAAATATATTTTTGACTATTATCTCTTAAATTTCTTTGCTCTTCATTTTTCGAAAGTTCCACATATCAGACATGAATATCTAGCAGGTTCCATAAAAATAAAACACCCTTCTCAACATTGCTAAGATACATTGAAAAATGAAAATGTTTTCTCAAAGACAAAAACAAAACAACCGAAATTTGCAACAAAGACATAAGTGTAGTGGTGGAAAATGGGCGGGTTGGATCAAATTTGGGCGGGTTGAAAATGGGTCAACATAAAATGGGTAATAATTCAACCCGCCCATATTTTATATGGGTAAAAATGGATTGGGTAACAAATGGGTTGGGTAAAATACTAGTTTACCCATATTTAACCATAGTACTCTACTTAAAAATTCAACATGGAGAAAATATTTTAGTCTTTTTTTAGATGAAATATGTTGAAAATGCTTCATTTAGTTTTATTGTATCAAAAAAGTAAAAAAAAACTTAATTTTTTTTCGGGGTTGGGGGGGGGGGGATCGAGGGTAAGGGTGAAAAACTAAAAATTTGAAGTTGAATTTTTAAAAAAAAACAAACTTGATTTTTTTTTGGTGGGGGGGGGGGGAAGTAGGGGGGGTTGGGGGTGGATCGATGGTAGGGATGAAAAAATGAAATTTTGAAGTTGAAAATATTTTTTAAAAACAAACTTAAAATTATTTTTTTGGGGGGGTGGAAGGGGCTGGTCGGGGGTGGGGGGGGGGGGGGGGGGATGATCGACGGTAGGGATGAAAAAATGAAATTTTGAAGTTCAAAATATTTTTTAAAAATAAACTTAATTTTTTTTGGGGGCTGGGTCGAGGGTTGGGGTGAAAATGTTTTCCTTCATACCAAACACACCCTAAAACATGCTTAATGCACTTTAAGCAATGTCAATACTAGCACATGATTTGCTTATTTTACACTATTATTTATTATCCAATATAAAATTAAACAAATAAAAAAAAATATAATTATAATTAACAAAAGAAATGTACATTTAAAATAGATATTTTTGGAGGGCCAAAGACTTCACATTTTTAATTATAGAGAAAAACAATCAGTTTTATAGAAGAACATAAAAAGGAAGAGAAGTTACAATATATTTGGTAATATCATGAATTTTGAGTGCATAAAAGTATATGAAGCTTAACTCATTTGGCTAATCCGGATTTTACCCATATTACCCATATTTTTATGGGTTGAATATGGGTACCAATCCACATTTTACCCATGTAAAAAGTCACTTACCCAACCCATTAAATATGAGTGGGTTACCAAAATATGCGCTCATTTTGCCAGCACTAGACATAACGAATATCGTAACGTCTAAGATTGAGAATTGTTGGATATGATCCACTACTATAGAGATGAGAATTGAGAACCATAATAGTCATATTTACTTGGGGGGAAATGGGTGTAAATGTGTAACACATGGATAAAATTAATAAAAAGACCAAAAAAAAAAAAGAGTCCAAATTTAACTTAAAGAATGATAATATTAATTCTAATAAAATACAAACAGGAAAAGTGTGAATTAAAAAGAGAAAAAGGGCGGCCGAATTCACAATATTTTGAGACAACACTTTACGAATTATGACATGAATTATCATTAATAGGAACCTAGTGTTAAGATATTTATTTGCTAAATTAATAAAATTGATTTGGCTTTTCTTTTTTTCAAAAGTTTTGCTTGAAAAAAGTTCCACATGGTTAGACATCAATATTAATTGAATATATCATTTAAATTGATTGAATGACTTTATACGGAAAAATGACAATAATTGAGTGACTTTTCTGTCACAAAACAAATAACAGAAAAAATGACTTTAAATAGTTGATGATAATATGAAAAGTCAATACTTGACATCTGCTATATAAAATCTCATTAGTCAAATTAAAGATAATGTAATCTAGAAATTTATTTGCTTGACGTAGAATCGTTGGCTATAGTCCATTACCTTAAAGATGAAAATGAGAACCAGACATGTCTGTATTAATATGTAATAAAAAAAACTATTATGGCCAATTTGACTAAGTCATTGGCTGATGGAGAATTGTTGGCTTTTCATTTTTTAAAAGAGCTTGAAAATAATTCCACACCATCATTATCTAACGAAAATATAATTTGAATTGATTAAGTGACTTTATACGTGAAATGACAATAATTAAGTAATTTTTATGTAACAAAACAAAGAAAAGTGACTTTTCGAATAGTTGAGTGATTACGTGAAAAATCAACTCTTGATATCTACTACATGAATTAGAGATAATGTAGCCAAGAGTTTTATTGATCTAAAACTGAAAATTATTGGATGTGATCCACTACTTTAGAGATAAGAATTGACAATTAGACATGTTTGTATCATACATTCTAAGTGATCATGACCGATGTCTCATAACAAAACTATTTTGGCCACTTTGACCAAGTCCTTGGCTGACGGAGAATTGTTGGCTTTTCATTTTTTTAAAAGACCTTGAAAATAATTCCACACCATCATTATCTACCAAAAATATAACTTGAATTGATTAAGTGACTTTTTACGTGAAATGACAACAATTAAAAAAAAAATTAAAACAAAGAAAAGACTTTCTGAATAGTTGAAAGATTATGTGAAAAATCAACTCTTGACATCTACTACATAAATTAGTGATAATGTAGCCAAAAGTTTTATTGATCTAAAACTGAAAATTATTGGATATGATCCACTACTTTAGAGATAAGAATTGATAACCAGACATGTTTATATCATACGTTAAAAGTGGTCATGTCATGACCAATGTCTAATAACAAAACTATTTTGGCCACTTTGACTAAGTTCTTGACAGAAACAACTCAAAATTTGACTTGAGAATGACTATATTTTCTCTGATAGAAACCAAATTTGCAAAATTGTACAGAAAACGCATTTCCTGTTGATCTTTAATTTATTTTGTTTTTCTTCTTGGGACTAGAAAAATGTGTTCAATTATTTTTCGTGAAAACAATCTTCTGAAGCTTACCCCCTCTATCTAAATTTATAATGCAAGTTTGAATTCTCAAGAGCCAAATCCTTTAATTTTTATCGTAAATTCAGGCATGAAGTCTTTAAAATTTTAAAATAAAATTTATATATTTAAAAACTATGTAAAAATTACTATAAGTAATAATAATTGATCCACAAACCAGTGGTCGCGTTTAAAGTGAAAAAATTAGAGTTTTTAATATTCACAAACCATCCTCGAAGGTTGAAATATCTTGATTAATCTCTAATAAAACACGATTAATTCCTAAAGAATTTGGTTACCTAAGGTCTCTTACTTACCTACATTTGGGTGAGAACTCTCTTAATGGCTATATTCCTTCTTCATTGGGGAATTTGAGCAACTTGTTTGGTATGTATCTTAATAATAATCAGCTTTGTGGCTCTATTCCTGAAGAAATAGGTTACTTGAGTTCTCTTACTTATCTATATTTGGGTAATAGCTTTCCTAATGGATCTATTCCTGCTTCATTTGGCAATTTGAGAAATCTGCAAACTCTGGTTCTCAATGATAACAATCTCATTGGGGAAATTCCTTCATTTGTGTGCAATTTGACATCACTGGAAGTGTTGTATATGCCGAGAAACAAATTTGAAGGACATATACCTAGTGTTCTAGGAGATCTTATTGCGATTCGGGTACTTAATTTATCTCATAATGGGTTGCAAGGCTATATATCACCATCACTTGGAAGTTTATCTGTACTAGAATCATTGGACCTTTCATTTAACCGCCTTTCGGGAGAGATACCACAACAACTTGCTTCTCTTACGTCTCTTGAATTCTTAAATCTCTCCCACAATTATCTCCAAGGATGCATCCCTCAAGGACCCCAATTTCATACCTTTGAGAACAGTTCATTTGATGGTAATGATGGATTACGTGGATTCCCCATTTCAAAAGGTTGTGGCAATGATCCTGTGTCGGAGACAAACTATACAGCTGCGCTAGAAGATCAAGAAAGAAATTCTGAATTTTTCAATGATTTTTGGAAAGCAGCTCTGATGGGCTATGGCAGTGGGCTATGTATTGGCTTATCCATAATATATTTCTTGATCTCAACTGGAAATCTAAGATGGCTTGCAAGAATCATTGAAGAACTGGAACACAAAACTATCATGCGAAGGAGAAAGAAGCAGCGAGGTCAAAAGAATTACAGAAGAAGAAATAATCGCTTCTAGACAAGTTACCAGTAAAGAAGAATTTGATTTCAGAACTTCAGGTATTCATGCTAAGCTTTACACTAATGTTTTTTAGTTTATTCTAACAACTAATATATTAGGTTTTATGCTTTTTTGATATAAACAAAATACTTATTAACGCTTGATACGAATTGCTAGTAATCAGTTGGAAACTGTGAGAACAGAGGCTAAAAATTTATAGTTGTGTGGCTCACTTTCTTATATTTTCAGATGCCAAGAATAAGAAGACATTGGCGTAATGGATTTGGTTCTTCCTATGTTGCAACTTATGATGTTGGATTTGATTATTAGTTTTATAAGCTTTCCATAACTTGGGAAAATGTAATATTATGAGTTTTGATGATATACAATAAATGTTGTGTGTATTGAATGATGTGTTTGCATTTCTCGGATCAATATAACTCACCTTAAAGAATCTAAGAGAGCTGAAGAATTAATGGAGGAAGATATTTAACGTGTGTAGAAGAAATCGAACTAACAAGGAAGAATACGTAACGATCTTGGGCTTAACTGGTTAACTCACACCCAAAGCTAGTTATTGAGGTGAGAGAGGCCATGTTTTATTTTTTGATAAGGAGAGCCTTGACGTAACTGGTAAGGTTGTAGTGGATAAGGTAACTTTTCCTGTTAATGAATTTAATGATCATAACAGAGATGTGTTTAAAATTTCTGTTGAATTAGTTTGCAACTAGTAAAGTTACCCGCGGTTCGCGCGGAAATTTAATAACATAGAATTTATAAAATAATACTTAAAACCTATCAGTCATTAAAACTAAAACACAATATTATTTTCAATACAAGATTACGTAGTAACAAACATTAATAATGTAAAGGAAAATGAAAATTATTGCATCTTATCATTTATCCTTAATAACATAAGCATAAATTAATGACTATAAAAATACATACCAGGATCTGTAACATAAGCAATGGTGTCAGTGAGCCACTCAACACACAAATATTTAATTGTGAAGAAGAAGGAGAAGAAGTAGTAGTTCGCAACTCTTCATTAAAGTCGCAATTTTTCATAAAAGTGACAACTTTTCATAAAAGTCGCAACTCTTCATTGAAGTCGCAACTCTTCATAAAAGTCACAACTATTCATAAAAGTCACAACTGCTCATAAAAGTCGCAACTATTCATTAAAGTCACAACTTTTCATGAAAAGGGAAGGCTAGTTTTGGAAATAAATAAATTAAAAGGGAATTCTGATTTGTGGTGGCGCCACGTAGGCAGGCATAAGGTTCTCTTTTATATATATACTAGTAAATGGGCCCGTGCTTTGCGCATTTAGAATATTCTTCTTTAAAATTTATTAGAATAGAATTTTTCTTGTATTTTGATGTTATAGTATTTTTGTATAAATCTGTTTTTAAGAGTATAGAGGTTATTCAATTGTAGTTTACCATTTGTTTTGTTAAAAGAAAAGACAAAATTACAAATCATAACACTATTTTCTCTTAGTTTACATAATTTCATTTTACAGATTCATTAATTTGCTTTTGAAATTTTACAATGGTTAGTTTATTTTTATCATTTATATGCATGGTTACATAGTGTCTTTAATTAGTGAGTCAAATAAATATTTTTCTCAATTTTCTTCTTTGCAAATTTCGTTAGTATAACACTATCAATTACTTTCAAAATGTTAAATATTTTTTTAATATATATATATAACTAATGTGTTTATCAAGAGCAAAGGTTCCATAATCATTTGATATACCAATAAGTAATATGTAGTCATTATGTGTTTTAAAATTAAAATGCAATTTTCCAAAATCCAAATTTCATATGTATTATAGTTATGATAGTGTTTTAGAATTGAAGTTGTGCACAAACAAAACATTAAGGGTCCAAGTAAGGGATAATGGGAAAAAAGTTCAAAAAAGTACTTTGGTGTGAGATAATAGTCATCATTGTGTATCATATAATTGTATAACAATAACTTTACAAAAACATAAACAACAAAGTTTAAAACATGTACTCAAAAACAACAATTAATATCATAAGCATAAATTAATGACGGTAAAAAAACCCAGGATCTGTAACAATAAAATGAAACATAACAAAAAAATCGAGCCCACTAAATGCACAGTGTCTCCTTAAGAATATCATTCCCCTCTAGTACCCGAGGTTTAAAGAAATAGATCCTCTCAGGATGAAACGTTTTTATTTACCAATGTAATGATACCAAAACAATAGTGTTAGTGAACCACTAAACAGGATCAAAGTACATAAATATTTAATTGTGCAGAAGAAGAAGAAGAAGTAGTAGTTCACTGTGCAGAAGAAGAAGAAGTAGTTCAGAATTTTCATTGTTTTAAAATGAGAGGAAACCCCTCTATCTATAGACAACAAATGGTAGTGTGAACAAATGCTTAATCTATCTTACCAGAAAGGTCACAACTCTTTGAAAAAATCACAACTCTTCGAAAATGTCACAACCTTTCATAAATGTTACAACCTTTCATAAAAATCGAAACTCTTCATAAAAGTCACAACTTTTCAATAAAAAGTCACAAATTTTCAATAAAAGTCACAACTTTTCATAAAAGTCACAATTTATAATAAAAGTCACAACTTTTCGTGAAAGGCTTCGGAAGTGTCACACCCTTTCATAAAAGTTGCAACTCTTCACAAAACTCACAACTTTTCATAAAAGTCACAACTTTTCAATAAAAGTCACAACTTTTCATGAAAGAGGAAAGCTAATTTTGGAAATAAATAAATTAAAAGAGAATCCTTGTTTGTGGTGGTGCCACGTAGGCGGGCCTTGAGTTCTCTTTTATATATATATATATATATATATATATATATATATATATATATATTATATATGATATATGATATTTGGAGGTCTTAAATTGTACAAATGCACATATGCTCGTGAAAGAGCATGACTATTCTTAGGCATTGTCGGATGTTGAAGGGAATTGCTTGTAACCCCCTAAACAATATACCCTATATTGGTGGGGGTTAGAAGGTACAGTGAAATAATCGAGGTTCACATAGGTTGCTCTGCAAACCACCATTATTAAACAAAATGCACACACACTAGCACATGTGAGTAAAAAATTTAATGACAAGAGATGAAAGAAACTCACGCCAAGATTGACTTTATCAAACAACAAATACATTGTTTGTAGCTTTTGGACAACCATTTATCACTCAAAGAAGATCACGGATTGATGCATTACATCATTCTTGGAAAAAAATTATGTACATAAAACTTACAGGAATCATGTTTTGTGTGTGGTGAAACTCCACAAGGACTAGTCCAAGATACCGAGATCAAGGATTTCTAAGTGCAGCCAATCTCTTCTCCAGTTCATCAATCCCCGAACTGCCAGCATGAAAGCACAACAACAAAATGTATATGAGCGAGTTAATGAGATCAAAGAGCATGGAAAAAGCACTTCATACTAATATGATACGATTATTTACAGGAAGAAAAGAAAAATAGAAAACCGAAACTGCAACATACTTTATCTGTTAACAAGCAGTGCACTCAAGATGTCTAGTAATTTTGCTCAAGGATACAATAGTACTTGAGTCAAAATTAGTTCATCATTTACCATTATTGCCTAGTTGTAAATTGTAATAGCTCCTATTATGTATTCCGTTTTAGTCTCTTAATTCTCCTTTTCAATTTTTCAAAGTAGCTCAGACAAAGTTGGCCTACAATTTTTGTGGTTTTAATTGTTTCAACCAAATTGGAAAGTTTGAACCGCCGAGAGCTTGTTAAAGATTACACTCGATTTGTTGAGCTTGGTGAGATTAAACTGATAGCTCAGATCAACTGCTCCAACACCAAGATAGTCGAGTGAAGACTAGCACGGCTTTTAACCTGGCTCGCAATTTCTAGCGAAGGACGCATGTTAGTGAAACGAAGCCCGATAGGTTCGTTTGTTTCGAATAACTGAGAAATATGTTGTTTCTAGCTTCAAAACTTGGTGGATATTTGAGCCTCTTCCTACTATCCTTCTCCATTAAAATACCAAACTTAATTCACCAACAGAATTTGAACCCATGTTGTGTGCCTACCACACATTCTTCTTCATTACACTACCTTTATTGTTAAACCAAAGCCCTATTAGCCATAAAAAAAAAAAATTGTAACTGTGGTATCCGTGTCATATTGCATGCACCTCGACTAATTCCACGAGATCCCTGTCACCTCCCACCACTAACATGTATCATGTCACTCTGTCCACCGAAGCTAGAACAGATGGGAAGAGATCACCTAGTGTTTTTGTCTTTGTTGGGATTTGAACTTGAGACTTCAAGGTATTCAACCCACATCATTGACCAGTAGGCCACAACCTTGGGTTATTTATTTATTTATTTATTATTGGCTCCATAGGTTTATCTCTCGAACAAGCATGTGAGTGAAGGAAAAGGGAAATAAAGTAAGAAAAAAACCATATCAGAGGAAAATGAAGACGAACCTGCTTGATTCCTCAGTCCTTTTTCCAGCAATTTTACCCTTGGGAGCCGCTGACAACTGTCCAAATTAAAACACGGGATCTTCAATTTAACACGGTAATTGTCGGAACCCAACTCCTTTCCTTCTTGTAAGTGAGAATACTGCTAGTTCCAATCTGAACCAATAATGAAAAACTAACCTGTGAGGCAACATCAATTCCAATTTCATCAAGGACCTGCAAAAATAAGACTGAGTTAATGTGCAAGAATCCGATAAGTAGGCGGGACCATGTGTATACAATATTTTTCTTTGGTAACGGTGAATGTGTATAGAAATTTAGTATATACATATTTTAATGCACTTCAATAATTATTTGATTTCAAGAAAGAATAATCCACATTCAATCGTCATTCCATTTTCAATGAAAATACATATGCAATATAAGGTGCAAAACTTCATCACCATTTGAATCTGAGATCCAGGGGTCCTAAATACACTCTACTGAACCTCTAAACAATTAAAAAGGTCCAAAATATACCCGACGCAGCTTCCA